AACGAAGGAATTACAATATTTCTAATAAACAGAATTACAAAATTAAGTCCTATATTTACTTCACATCCCAGAGATTCACTGCTGCCAAGATACTTCTAACTCGAAGTAAATTTCTGATAATATTGCTAAGGTAATTGAAGCAATAAGAAAATTTCCCACACACACACATGCATGGTAAACAGGTCAGACAGTTATGATTACTCATAAACTCAGAGCTTATTGAAAAGTACACTCCCCTTTCCGTCATTTTCTTAAACGCGATATCCCAACAAGAAGAAAATTTCTCCTTCCGTACGTGTCTCAAATCGTTCGGCTTAACTTTACATGCGAAGCAATTCACTTGAAACTGCTGACTGATTGCTATTTCCCAGATGCTTCACAACAATTGAACGCTTTCCTTCACCAACCACAATCTCAAGTACAAGAATTGATTTTGGATGACGATTTTCTGACGTCCGCAAGCAATTATTTTTTGTCCACGACAAATGAAAGAGGATGCCATGTTACTTACCCCACCCTCTTGTTTAATTCACTATTAGCGTTCTGGGTATCCCCAGAGGGAATACCGAAAATACTAGTGTTCTGGGTACCGGGATTCCCAAAACTCGAGGATACCCAAAACACTGTGACACCGCCGTCCTTACGATTGAAGGGAGCGTGGGCAGAGTTGATGTGCCAAGTTTCCAAACAAAGGCGCTGTTGGTATTATTCCACCTAATTGTATGGTTAGTTAGGCATGTGTGTTCCGACAAAGCTGAATAATAATAATTTTCTTTTTTGAGAAAGAAGACCTGTACGGGTCTGCAAATGATCCCAGACCGCAAATGATCCCCAAATTGGACCACAAATGATCCCGGACCGCAAATGAACCCCACACTGAACCGCAAATGATCCCGACTAAAATATAAGGAATGGCATGGATGCTGAAATAGTGTGGATAGGGAATTGGCGTGAACAGTGATCATCATGGCTCACAACTAGCATCTTTTCCACACTTTGTGCTGAATTTTTTRTTATTAACTCTGACAACTGACAACTGTCAAATAAAACCGCTGATTTTAATTGCAGGCCAGAAGTTTTGTTTTCTTTGCAACCAGAATCCCTTTAACAGATTTTCTTTAATGACGCAATATACGCCTCGTATCTCTCCTCAGCTAAACATTGTTATTTTGGTGTTACAGTATCTTCAAATCAAATCTAATCAGCCCATTAACGCCAAACGACTGATAACAACGGCAGCAACAATAACAAGAACTTAATGTATTAGATAATAAGATTCCGTCCAACATATGCAGCGCTGCCCCCAGTTGCTTTTTCGTTGCCTAACTAAAACCTCCAAGAGGCAACTGTTGCATAAAACGCTGTCGTCTGAATAAACCTGTAATGCTCCACCTTCACCGCTCTGAAAGACACCGTGTGAGTAACAATCGAACTGCCTTCCACATCTGGGGCAACTTTCTTTAGTTATTTTCCCCTCGCCGTATTTCTGCTTTCATTCCTGAACAACTGCTAGTTGGGAATTCTGCGATGCTGTTGGTTCAAGGCTATGGTAATGAAGCTCAACTTCATGGCCCAGCAAGGCCATATCCCCACTCTGGGTGCAATTTTTGACGAGGATGCTGAACAAAAGAGTTTTATTTTAACAGGCAATCGGTGAAATCAACTGCGGAAATTTAAGTATTTTTTACAGCTATCATACTATGTGTGTGTTCTAATTCTCCGTTGTCCTTGTGATTTTTAAATGCTCGATTTCACTGAAATCACACGTGCACCGGAAGCATTGATCATATTGAACAAAAACGAAATCCGATTAAGCATGTTCTCCAAGGTTCTACACAATTAACAGAAGATTCGCAACCCACGATCACAACAAATGTCTTTAGAAAATTATTGTACTACGCTAAAGGTCTTGAAATCGACAAAATCTTTGGCCCTTAAAGCGGTGTGTGTTACTTGACAAAACGTCACGTAATGTCACAGATTTTCCGCTAAAATTGAAAAAAAAAATATCAGCTATGGAATATTTCTTATAAAATAATAAAACGTGTTTTCATATCAATCCATGCCATTCCTTATTTTTTAGTCGGGATCATTTGAGGTTCGGTGTGGGGATCATTTCCGGTCCGGGATCATTTGCGGTCCGGGATCATTTGCGGACCCGGACCGCTTTCTGATGCTCTTTCAAAGGTGCACTAAACTGACGTTTGGTCTGTCCGATATACTCGTGATTACAGTCATTGCAAGGAACAGAATAAATAGCGTCAGTTCGTTGTTCTTTCGTAACAGTATCCTTAGGTTTGGCAAAAGTATGCCCCAAAGTCTAAAAAGGTTTTTGAGCTATTTTCACGTGGTGGCTATTAAAAATGGCTATTTAACCGCCTCCC